AAAGCACGTAAGCATCACGACACGCAGCAGGTGCAAATGAGCATTTTTATATGCGAGGCTATCTAGCCATAATAAACAGCTGTAAAGTGAATCCTCCTATTTTTATCACTTAGTGAAATTGGCACTAAATCGCATATACATAATATATATTATATATATATATATATATATATATATATATATATATATATAATCTAGAGTGGAATAAAAACAAATTTTTTATTCGCTTCCTTGCGATAGTGTTAAATATGTATGTTGAATGTACGACTTGGCGGTATATATAGTCCATGCAGCCAGTAGGTTTGTCCGGTTACTTCCGGGGGAATAATTCTATTGTTGATTTTTGGAGCAGCAAAACAATTAATCATTTGCTCTGCTACTGTATCAGCACTGGACTATCGTGCTTGTATGAATTGGGCAAACACTATGATGAGATCAGGGATGCAATATAGTTCAGCTGATATGGATGAACGGGCGGAACGCCGCTCGCGCGTTGTGGGTATCAGCCCGATTAATTTTGGGATGGGTTACTAAACAGCTAATAGACACAATGGCCTACCATCACATGCAATGCAAGTGTGGAACATCACAATTTTTTTTCTATTCTGTAAATTTAAGATCCTACAAAGAAATTGTTGTTTTTCACATTTGACTCATTCATCAGATCATTTAACTATCTTACATACTAGATATGTGTTTGCATTGAATTGGTGAGAGTTATGTTGCAATGCCACTTGTACAGAGGTACCGGTTGAGAATGTCCGTAACCCTGACAGTATCCTGCGCATATATAACAAGGTGATAACACACAAAAAGCTAACACTATCCAATGGCTATACATATTTCTAACTCTTAGGGTTGTATACTGCCCAAAAATCACAATGAGAATTATATATGCCCGGATGCTACCCGATGGCCAAAATTATCGGTCTCGCTCAGTAGCCTAAAGCCTATCATTGCATAATATTGTGAATTCTGTCATTGCTGGATGTTTTATTGTAAATGAACTTGTTATTAGATCGATATTAATTAATGAAATGTACAATAATTACTATAATGGATGAATGCATGGAAAGAATGCAATATTTTCACAAACTGCGGCTCTTATTACATCATAATTTAAATAAATACATAAATATCATGATAAATATTATCATATATATATATATATATATATATTTTATTTATTTATATATTATTGATTGATTTAAATTACTAGATGCATTTTTCAATCACTCAGCAATTGCCATAACAAATATTTATTTGAATTTGAATTCATGAACTGATACTCGAGTTTGAAGTGGTGGGAAATATCACTTTTTGTCTGTTTTAGTATAACAAAATTCCCTGTATAGTGTATAGTAAGTAGGCCTTAAACTCTGAATCAATAATTTCTTAATATATTTCTGAATAATACTTTCTTTACTTTCATATTCATTTATTTTCTTCATTATTTTCTTTCGATATTCCTTTGTATAGAAATATACTGGTTAGAATAACTCAAACTTTAAATTGTTCAATTAGAAAGGGTGCCAAATAAAGTTTTAAAAATTTACCTGCACCCTGACTTTAAAACGGAGTATAAAGCTAATAAAACGCTAAATATACAGCTATAAGTTAGTGATTGCGTTAAAGCAAGTTTCCCAATTGGTACATACTATGATAAATTTATATTTCTGCCTAAATGTGTGCGTTTGTATGCACTCGATATCCATCCATGCTTCAATATATCGCATTGATATACGTTTAAATGTCAATTTTACTGCTATACGTGTTTATGCTATATCTCAACTCTTTTATATAACGTCATGTAGATATTGACAATGATAGTAAACTCTACTAAACTTGCATACGTTCTTTTCTATGTTCATGTAATCAATATGAATGGTCGTAACTTTTTCTTTAATAGCGCTTACGTATTTTACAGTACTACATTTATACTAAATATTTGATGTGACTGACATATCCGTTTCTAGCGAATTCGAACTTGCGGTTGGCTTATAAGTTAAGTTTTTACAACGTGGCTTTGTAAAATTAAGGCTGTTTGAATAGATGTGATAATGTGAAAATTGTAGCTGTGAGCATGTGATAATAAAATCTGTTGATAGTAAGTTTACTACTATTCTTGTGTAGAGATATGCTATCTATAATATATAGTACTGCTTATGGTACCTGCATTGCATCGGGAAAAAAAATTGGAACAACTTGTAGAGAAAATTCTGAACATGTATATTTATTTAATTCTAAGGATAGGAGACGCAACAAAGAAACCAAATAGAAAGTGGTAAAGCACTACTTCCGGCAAAAAACAGTTTTAATTATTCTATGGTTGGCAAAGGGTATTATATACTATTTGGGTGGCCTTTCCTTCTGGGGCAAGAATGAAACAGATTTTGTGTATCCTAGCCTTGAGGCACCCAACGTAGAGATGCTCATGGAAGAAGCAATGTACGATGTTAGATTAAGACCAACGATATAAATGGAGTACCCTAGGCCTATGGTAGTCGTTCCGC